TATTTTGCAAGAATATTATAACGGTTTTGAAGGCGTCGGCTTCGTAAAGACGTTCCAGCGCTCAACAACGGAAGCTGTGTCTCATTGGACAGATGTTATAGCTCGTTACTAGGCAGCAGTTAGCGCGCCAAATAAATTATCTGCGTAGCAATCACGTAACTTGTGTTTTCTATATAGTCTGCGCCACGGAACAGTGGAACTATTTTCTGTGTTGTCCGTGCCGCTGCTATATAACGCGAGTCCCTTTGCAGCTGAGATGAGTTTTTAGTTAAGTTCCGAGGTTCCAGGGCGATTGAATAAGAAATGGCAAGAAGATTTCATAGTGAATTGAAGTGCTAGTTTCTGTGTTGATATCCGTTGCCAGGAGACGACTAGTGAAGACGGAGAATCCTAGTGCGTGTGCAACGGTGAACTGAAAGTGTGTAGAATAGCGGTAACGTTATAATTGATTGTGATTAAAAGAATTGAGAACTCGTAACCGAAGTGCTAATATATCCAATCATCCGATCTGGAACCCGTTATTTTCGTCACGCGTAACACCCTACACGTGACAATATAAATGTTGAAACTCCTCACTACGCCGTTTTCCCCATCATCCTGTTACTTCCTCTTTTGTAGGCTCAAGGACTCTTCCGTCTCAAAGACCTTCATTCCTCAAGGTCTGTTTCACCTGTATGGTGGGTGACCAAAATTTATATCAGCAAAAACAAGAAGCAGGAAAATGACCGACGAAACAACACACAATTCTTAACTAAATTAAAAAAAAGGTAAAAGGCAAAGCTATCCCCGTAACAGGCCGTGACGACCCATAGGGCTGTGAGACGTCGAGGCTCCCACATTTTCGCTAGACAGTCGGCTCACAGATGGCGGTAAGGTTGTCAGCCTTACGCGTCGGCCGCACTTTACCCCTTCTCCAGGAATATTCCTGGTGCTCATTTCTGTCAGAGGCTGAGTCGACCCAAGGGCCATAGTGCCGCTGGAAAGATTAGGTAAATTGAAAAAATTCACCTCATCAGGACTCACAACCCGCGACCTTTCGGTTTATAGCATGGTGCTTCAACCACCTACGCTACCCCGTGTAACTGAATTAAACGCTAGTAGAATGGAGGGCGTAGGATTTGATTAAGGACTCGCTTGGAACACACAGCTACATGGTCCATTTACTGAACTTTAACTCCAAAATATAATGAATCAGTAATAAGGTATTTAAATAAAGAAGCAATACAAGGTACATCGGAGCCGGGATAGTTCAGTTCGTCTACATGTGTATTGCTCTTTACGTGTATAACCTGTACGAGCAAATTCGATCACTTGAAGCTTCTTCTCGTCAGAACATGTCTCTGTCCGCACAAAACCACTCCTTGTAACAAACAAACTCAGCAGAGCAGAGGTCATCTTGGGAAACTAACGATGGTTCAGCTACTCAGAAATCTGACGTTCGTTGCCGTGTTAACTACAGCCCATCACTCTTCTTAGTTCCAGCCCAGGATAGCTATCACCAGAATAGAAGAAAGGGGTTTAATTACTTTATTAGGGTCAGTGAGTTGTGAGGAAGTAGATGTTTGTTCTCAAGAAACGCAGTTCATACCCCCCTCCTCGATAAAAAGAACTACGATAAATTTCACGCATTGACACATTTTGTGGCCGCTCCCAAACTATTTTTAACGTGGGATAACTCCGAAGTTCAAGTTGAGCCATTGCAAAATTTGGACGAATTCGTACTATTTTGTTAGTTATTTTACGACAACTAGACTGTATAACGTCGCATTATAAGTTGGCAGATGAGTGATAGATTAGAAACTGCTAGGAAGGAAACGGTCTGGGCCTAATCGAGGTACTGTCCCGAAATTCGTCTGAAAGCACTGCGGAGAGCCATGAAAAAGAGCCTGTTACAATAGTCGATGTGTCGGCCCAGACCGAAGCAAGGATCTTCCAAATACACGTCTAGAGCGTTTCCTCTGAGCGAACCCACGAAATTCGGAGTCGACATGTAAAATTACTCGTAAACGAAGAGTAGGGGGGAGGGAGTGGCAGAAATTCGCCCGTTTTGTAAACGATAAAGCGTCTTTAACCATTGTAGTCCATATTAAAAATTCACTTCTTGCCAGCCAACGGGACGATCCCAAAGTCCTCTCGGAGCTGAATGTTTTGCCAGCAGCACATTAACATTGTGGCCAACTGATCAAAAAGCATTAATTCACACAGCCTACTGGATGTGTTGAATTCAGAGTCCTAGATACACAGATGATTGTCAGAGAGTAAGTCAGTGATTAGACAGCAGACTCAAAAACAGCTACAAGACTCAACAAGTAGTAGCTACAAGAGTCGGCAGTCGGATATGAAACATGCATGTCTACGCCAGGATCAGTTAGATTTGTGATCGCACACAACCAATACAAGAATGCATTAAGATTCCGAGACCGCAACCGGAAAGTATGTAAGGGCAATGCCAAATTTTGGGTACGCGAAGCGTAAGAATTAATTTAACACTTAAACTAAAGCGCTCAGGAATGAAGTAAAGTTTATATGTTTATTAGCACCCACAATTAATTTAATTCATTTAGCGAATTATCGCCGCTATCTGCACTAGTTATCCCTACTTTATGTGTCATAATTCTTAATAATTTTCAGAGGATAAAAGTATATAAAAAGTATAAAAGGGTATAAAAGTAAGTGAACAAGCAAACAAGCAAGCGGCAAGCAGGATTGGCTTACGCTTCGACCCAGAAGATGGAGGCAGTACGTTCCCCGATACGGTAATTTTTCACCGGGCTTTGCTGCGTAACGCCCTGGAAGACAGTACCCTCTATAGTCATCGCCGTGTGAAACTGAGGTCTCATGTAATTGACATTTGTTTACTGTTTCCACCGTATCGATTTACAGTAGATCTGTCTGTTAAAATTATTTTTAGTAACGACCAAAGAAATCGAACAGAAAGAATCTAACGGTATGCCTTGAAGCGTGGAGCAATGCCAGAATTTTTTCTGTTCGTCACACTTACGTAAGTTGTTTTATGACAGAGTAATTTTATCTCTCTCCTGTCTCGTTCTTGCCTAATTACATGTTGCGGCACAGACTAACTGCGTGAAGCATAGTCCGCCTTGAGAAGCTAATAGTTGTTCAACTAGTGAAGAAATTCCCTGCATTTATAAAACCCGAAGATTCAGTTCCGTGTTCAAAAGAGTCCGCCAATGGTTCGTATCAGGTAGATGAATCCAATCCATACATTTCCAGCGTATTTCTTTAAGACCTGATTACTCTTACACTTTGACCCATGTCTAGGCCTTCCTACTGTTCTCTTTCATTCAGATCTTCCACTAAAATATTGTATGTATTCTGTTCTTCCTTTTGTTTGCTACATGCCCTACCCACCTTATCATCTTAGTAAGTCTGGCAAGGATTCTCTGCTGCAGTCTGTGACAAGACATGAGCATATATGTGTACTGCTTATTTTCATCTTCACTTCTCTACCAGCCTCCTATAGCCTTTCCTCTTTGGCTGTTTAATGACATAAGAATTAAAGTAGGTGGGGTGGGTATCTCCTATCAGGATCTGAGGTTTCTAACTCACAGACAAGATCTGTATGATGTGACACATTCTTCATGGGTTTCCGTAAAGTTTTGGTCTCGAGTCTGTATGGTGTGAAACTCGCCTCTGTCATTATGGGAGGGACACGGCCACGCCATAGCTCAAGCGGTTAGTCGCTGGCTTCCCATCGCGGGTCTGGTCAAGTGGGATTTGTGGTGGGCAAAGTGGCGCTGGGGCAGGTTTTCTCCGAGTACTTCGGTTTCCCTGTGTCTAATATCCATAGTTTCATAGTTAACAATGGTGAGTTTTCCTACTATTACTTTTTTTGAAATGGCCAGTTTCTGTATGGCAGAAGGTTATTTGGCAGATCTCTGGTATCTTGGATGTTCATTCAAACAAGTCTTCATTAAAGAAAGAGATGAATTTTTCTCTGCTGTAGCTCTCCTGTGGTGTGCTTTAAGCATTATTTATAATAATTAAATATTTTCCACTCACATTTACTGTCTGTGATTTCTTCTTTCAGATTACATGTCAAAGAGGTACTGATTATACACTGTATGATACATTGTTAGTTAAAATACAACAGGAGAATGATTATAACTATTTGAAGTAGGAGTCAATCATAATTTTTAAATTATCATGTACTATCTATATATATATGTTATAATAATATATAATAACATGTATAGTATAAACAAGAAGCGGCCTCCATAGTCTAGAGGTAACGTTCATGACTCGTAGTACGCGGGTTCAAATACCTGACGGAGGTCGTCAAATTTTTAAGGGCAGAAAAAATCAGGGAACAAGTCCTCCGGGAGGGACTTTAAGCTGTGGGTCCCGTGTCGTAACTTTATGGCACATAAAAGAACCTCGTATCTCCAAAGGAGGTCACTGAGCCAAATTACGGACATTTCCCGCCCAACAGCAGTCTCTAATACCTCTGGTAGATGGGGGAAGCATTATAGATACCTCTCAGCTAGTAGAGCCGGTCTCGCTGGCTGGGCGGGACTGATGGTAAGCACCAGTACCGGTAGGATATAGAGACTGGTAGAATATCATAGAGGGAAGCACAATGGACCAAGACAGGTCTAAGTGCATGGGGAAACCCACCCTCTCCAATAACTAACTAACTAACTAGTATAAACAAATGAAGATTTTTAATTAATCGGCCCCATTTATTTTCACATATTTTTGGGGTAATCTCACTGGTCCCACTCATGTGTAAACTTGTAATTCACCATTGCTGCACCATCATAAATTAGTTCCTTTGAATAGGCTTTTGGAAAGGAAAGCATATTTTGAAATAAAATTCAGACTCCCATCAGAACAATGCCTTCTGCCTAGTCTTTAGATTTAAAGAATTCCATCTCAGTAAAAATCTGATTTACCAATTTGCACTGCTGAAATAACTTATGGAGTAGACAAATTTGTGTTTTCTTAGGACATGGTAATGTGTTTTTCCTTTGTTTTAGAACTTTGAAGCTGTTCCGTATCCAAAAGAGAACTATGGCAAGTTCTACTCAGGAGACTCATATATTATACTCTTCGTAAGTACAGCTGCATGTTTATAGGGTGAATTGTACTGTTACTGTCTTAACATTACACATACAGATTTCCTTTTTTTTAGATATAGCTCTCGGTTTTGCGCAGTGTAACATTACTGTCTTCACATTGCATCCTGTTGCCTTTGTAAGTACAGCTGTTAGGGACCAAGTCACCCTGCCTGCCTCCTCTTGGTGGTTCATGAAAGTGTCAGACTGGGCTTCCTGTAGGCAATCAGGTTGGGTTGTCTGACTAAGGGTGAAGGTGCTGTAAGGTAAGGACTGACATATTAAAGCCTGCATAGCACAGAGGAAGCTGTGTGTTGAATGGAGCTATTGGGGCACAAGGTAGACATCCCATTGTAAGTGAGCTATTGGAGCACAAGATAGACATCCAATTGTAAGTGAGCCTTTGCTCCCGCATGTAGGACTGTGTGCATGGTGGGGGGGAATATTTTCTTCAGCAGCAAAATTTCTTAGTGGCTGTAATGAGGGTCCAATGTGGGTGTGATGCTTTCTCTTGGTGGTGGAAAGAAACATAACCGATAGAAATATTTGGATGGACTAGCAGAAGAAGACAAACAAGGGGAAGGCTATTCTAAAGAAGTGAAGGCTCTGGAGGTCTGTTGTGGGGAGGGGGGGTGCTCTGCTGGCCCTGTTGGCAAATGACAGAGGTAGGCTGCAGTTTTGCTGTCATCACTGTCCTTGAAGAAGAAAAAATGCCTCCTGCATCAGAGGGCCAAATTGTGTGGTTTCCACTTGCCTTGGAGTGGGAGGGGATCTTCCGGCATTGGAGAGTTCAGTTGCTGCTATGAGCATGAACAGATCTCTTAGTCCACTGGGAGAGATACTAGAGGAGGGCTCTTGATGGGAATGAGTAATCTGACCATCAAGAAGAAGAATTGGACAGAATAGCACATGAGGTAAACTGGGCAATAGTCCCAGTCTTGGAGGCTGGTGCCTTAGCTGGTGTTTGATTATGGGTCTAGCTCGGACCAAGTGTGGACTCTGCTGATCTTGTTGCTGATAATCAGATATCTCAGGGGCTCTGGTGAGGATCCATTTAGGGCGAGACTTTAAAAGTTCTCTTGATAGGGGTGGATAACCTATCAAGAAGAACTGGATGAGCTGGCAAAGAAGCAGGGCAGTTGAGGAAGGAACTGAGGTCTCAGCTTGAGCCGGGGTCTGAGTTTTGCTGGGGCCAGCAGTGGTGGGTACTGTTGCAGCAGTGCAAGAGATGATGTCAGTACCAAGCTTGATTTGGCATGGATCTCTGACCTTTCACTCTTCATTGGTGAGGCTAATTGATATTGGCAGGCCTTCAATATGGAGACTTCTGGCTGTAGCTAAGGTCACAAAATTTGGAGCACAAAATTGACCTAATTCAGGTGTGAGTGCATAAGGGGCTACTGGAAGTTGTCCCCCTCTTGTCAATATGTTACAAGTATAGTTGTCTCTTCTGTGCAGTGCAGTGTTGCTTCTGTCACAGTATGCCTATATGTATAATGTTTTATTTACCATAAGTATGGATGTCTGTTGTGTGCAGTGTAGTTACTGTCTGCATAGTCTACCTTTATTTCGTGCTCTTTGTAAGTGTAGCTGGCTGTCTCTTGTGTACAGTATAGTACCTTTATATCGTGCTCTTTGTAAGCGTATCTGGCTGTCTCTTGTGTACAGTATAGTGCTACTCTCTTTGCAGCAAATGTGCTGATGTCTTCTCAGTAAATTTAAGGACTGCAGTCACCTATAAATTTCTGGACTTGAGATTCTCATGACAGTGACTGTGAAGAGTGCAGTCTTCAGGATTGTAATCCTGTGTAGTTTGGAGAGAGCCCAACGTTTCAAACGACAGAATAGCCTCCATCTTCAGGGTCAAAGAGTAAGCCAAGCAAGAAACCAGTAGAATTAGACAACACACTAAAAGAACCACATATGGGAGGTGCAGGCTGATTATGGGCTCAGCCAAGCCTGAAACAAACTGCAAGAGAGCCAGTTGATAAGTGACCATTGTCCATAAGGGGTCTCAGAGCCATTGGGAACAAAAGAAATTGTACCTTATTTTGGAACTGAAAAGGACTGTTTTCAATTGAGTAAAGTTGGAGTGGAAAGAAGTCATGTATAATGTCTGGTGAAGAGGTGAGCAGGGACAGCAAGAGGTAGTAGAAAAGCCAAGGATATTAAGGGAACAAACTGTTACCAAAACAGTGCAGGAAGACTGGGAGTACTGAAAGAACATAGTCAATCCCCTAACAAAGGTAGTGTGCATTGACAAACTGCCTGAAGAACCATGTCACATGAAGCCTATGAAGGAGGCATCTTGCATTCCTTCAGGGAGAAGATGGAAGGTTTCCAAGACTACTTAAAAAGTAACTGTTCTCCCTATTCATGATGAGATATAACTTAATCTCATTCGCCTCTCAAATATCATCCATGCACCTGAATTTGCTGGAGAGATAGTAGTGTCCTAGAGCAGAATGGCATGTTCCAAATTGATGCTGTGCTCAACCAATGGTGTTTTTACTGCATAGTCAAAGATATATATGCCAGTGATGCTCCTTGACCATAGTGTCAGTGAAGCGCCCTGTATGTCTACCTTGGCCACATTCACAAGGGGTGCTGTATACCCCTGATGTCTTCAATCATTTTTTCCTTGACAGCTTGTAGGAAGCTGGAGATTATCCTCAGCAGGGAGGCCAGATGATTTGAAGTTGTGCTGGGACAGCACCACATAGTTTAGGAAAGTGACTGGGTTAGGATCCTCTTGGGGCAGAGCAACGTTCACAGAAAGGTTGAGAACCTTATGATTCTGTCAGTCACTATGGCTCCTCCACCTGGATGTGACCCTGAAGGGTGAAGGTTGTGCTGGTCACACAAAATGCACCAAGGAGGAGAACATAGCATGCTTGTAGCATGGTGGTAGGAACCAAAATTTAGGCAGAGCTTGATGTTAGTGGGTTTTTGGTGAACTTAATTACCCAGAGTGCTGTCAGATCTGTAAATTGTGAAGGTCAGGAAGGGAATGTGGCTGTTTCTTTCCTTCTCCATGGTGAACTGGATTTTATGCTTTACATTGTTCAGGTGAACAAGCAAGAGAGCATCAAGGGGCCATGAGACCAGATGACGAAAGTGTCATCCATTTATCAGAAATATCGAATTGGTGTGTGAATTGCCTGGTTGAGAACCATCTCCTGAGACTCTTTAGAATCGCCAGAGAGAATGGTGAACCCATAGCCATGCCATCAATCTGTTCGTAGAACTAACTACTGAAGCCGAAGAAAGAGAAAGTCAGGACATGGCAGAAGAGTCTCAGAATATCTTTCTTGGAATGTAAGCTTAGGAGGTCCAAAGCTTCCCCCATCAGCACCTTGGGGAAGAGTTAGAGAGCCTAGTGTGCAGATGGAAGCAGTAGGGATTTTTGCATGGTGTGGAGAATTCCCCAAGTGGGATCGTGCCATAAGCTCACGCAGTTAATCGCTGCCTTCCCATTGCAGTGGCCCGGGTTCGAATCCAGGTCACATCATGCGGGATTTATGGTGGAGAAAGTGGCACTGGGGCAGGTTTCCTCCAAGTACTTCGATTTCCCGCCAATCTTCATTCCACCAATTACTCCACTATCACCATCATCTATCATCTGAGGCAGGTACAATAGGACAGTAGTGGCCACAGTACCAAATGGAGTGATTCTCATCCCACTAAGAATAATAATAATAAAAAATCACCACATGAGAACTGGGGAGACCGACCAGGTATTTAGACAGGTAGAAGCCCCAATGATGCTAACAGTGATCCTCAAGGGAACACCTCCTGTTCGATCTATCAGACCTCAGAAACAGAGGGTCCCTTGAGTAAGACAGTCCTCTGCTCCAAGGCGTTGGTACAGTTATTATTCAACTTTTTGTACTCCTGGTCCTCTGGGAGGGCAACAGTCTTCGGATTATAGTGTCTGGTGTAAAGGACCAAAGTTACATTGCTTTTGTCAAATGTAGGATATTATGTTTGACTTCTAGGGGCTTCAAGGAACTTCCTTTTCACATGGGATGCATTGTCTTAGGCTTGCTGGAGCCTTTTAAGATCCTGAGCATTTTCTGGTAAGGCACATTTCACATGTTCCAACTGTCAGAGGATGTCCTCAGTATGCAGCACCATTGGGGGTCACAGCATAGTTCAGACCTTCACTGAAAGATGAGTATGGTGCATCTTCCAATGGCAAGTTGCTTAAATTTGAAACACTCTTCCTGTTGTCCGATTATCCAAAACCCATCAGTATCACACTCCATAAAATGGTGTCAGCATGATCACTCAGCCCCAGCCATCAGACAGTGCAATTCCAGCAGCTCCAGGGAGACCACAGTCAGTTCTTGTCTGGTATGGTGGATCCACACATGGTGCAGAGAGAAGCTTGCCTGTCAGTAGATTCTCTTGGCATTATTATAACATGTGTGATGCTGGAACTGTAGGAAATCAGGAATGGTGCTTTGGTCCCTGTGCCTCAATTGGAAGGACAGAGAACATACTTGTAGAAGCCTGGCTTTCTTGATGTACAGTGTGTCAAATATGCAGATGCTATGTTGTACAAGAGCCTTCTTACAGATGATTATTGTTGTACCTGAGGTTCTCAAGTGTTCTCAGTGAAGTGTTAACTATCATCACAGTACACCTGTATATTGTTTCTTTTGTAAGTATAGCCATCTCTTGTTGGGAGTGCAGTGTCACTGTCATGACACTATACCTATATATTTTTCTGTTTGAAAGAAAAGTGTGGCTAGCTTCTGTTGTGTGCAGTTTGGTGTTAGTATTCATAGTAGTCATATTTGCTGCTGTTTCAGACAAAGAAGAATGGTAGTGACTTCAGCTGGGATATTCACTTCTGGCTAGGAAGTGACACTGCACAAGTAAGTTCTGGCAACTATCAGTTATATAGGTGTGCCTGAGTGGGGAGAAAAGAAATGTATGTATAATATTGGTGGGGAAATATCATGAATATCATGAACTACAGCCAACTGAAGGGCAGAGAGGGAGGTGAAATGGATCTTGGAGAAGTGGGTATGTGAGGTGCCTTTGGCTCAGGAACATTTCCAGTGATTAACTTGGCATTAGCAGTGTTGAAATTTAGGGTTGTACAACCATAATTAAAATCTTACATAATTAGTTAATTAGGGATGTGTGTTTAACCCTGTGAAGCCTAATGGTACCACTGCTTTAACATTTAAAAATTTGACATTATTCCCACAGGGTGGTTTCATGTGTTTTGTACTGTTCTCACAATAAATAACAATTGTTTCCTTAAACAGCACTAACCAGCTGATTGTTGTAGAGATGTAATATGTTTCCTGTGAGGTACAAACATAATAGTTAAATGTCTATGTATCACAGTTTGTCAGTAATGCAACAGATATTAAAATATTCACCATTTAACACTTAACACAACATGTTTTGGCCACAGATGGCCATCTTCAGGTGTTCCAGTGCTTCCAAACTGCTACACTGCTTTGATGCGCGCTAAAATTGCACGTTGCAGTCCACTTGAAATAACATAAATAATTACTTAAAATCCGTTACAATTTTTCTATTAAAGGCTTTCATAAAATCCTATTCGACCACTTGTTTAAAGCTATATGATATTCCAGACAGTTTGTTTCAGCAGCTTGTTCTTCTGTTTCATTAAACTGTTGTTTTGCTATGTCTGCAATCTGTAATATGCCCCTTGCTTGTGTGTTGTTCCCTCTAGCAGCGTGGCGTTGTCTTCATTAGTGAAGTTGAAACAGTATCATTAAATAAGCCAAGAATATGTAATTAATTAATTAATTAACCAGTATTTTAGAAATGGTAAAATAGTTACAGTCAGTGTTCAAGGTAGGTTAACATATAAACACACTGCATGGTTATATTGCCTAAAAAGTTAAGAAATATAATCATAAGCAAGAGAGTCATACCTTGTACATTTTGAGCCATAATGGCCATGCCAGAGTGGTTGTACCTCTTATTGGCTCTGTGTCAGCCACCAGCAAAACTGGCTGCAGCCTCACAGTGTGGAGATCTTTCACAGTACAGTGGTGGCATGGCCCTGGTAAATTGTCTTGAGCTTCTTTGGTTAAAACTTACAACGTGACCATGAAGATTACTCTTAAGGAATGCTATCTTTTCTGCTAGAACTATGTTTGTTGTTACTCCTATGCTTGGTTTTAGCCTCAAGGCTGAAATATGACAGATATTCCTCTTTTTACTTTAGACAAGTAAGCTGATATATATCACATTTTCAGTGCTATGCATGGCGGCATGTACTGGTTGAAAAGAATCACTGTTCTCGTAAGCTTTCTTCTCCTAGCATGGCTTTCCTTTTATATGAGTCATGGACTCTTTAAATATCAGTAGCCAAAAACAGTCACAGATTAAAGATGCACATTTTTGACCCTGTCAAGAACTTGCTTGGTTTGCTTTGGTTGGTGAACAGTTGCCTGAAGATCGCGCTAAGGCCAAAGCATTTTGCAATTTAATGTGATTTGAATTGCATTTTAAAGTACATGAGAGACTCTGAATGATTTGGGTTTGCATTAGAGACGGAAATAAGGCAACGTTGTGAAGGAATGTTTGACTTTTATTCTGACAGTCTCGTCAGTTTTTGTGCCTTTCCTAAGTTGATAAGGTGGGTAACATACTGTTCTCCCATAAAGAAATGTGGTATATGTTTGTACCAGGATGAAGCTGGTGCAGCTGCTATTTTGTCAGTGGAGTTGGATGACTCACTGGGTGGGGCCCCTGTGCAGCACCGTGAGGTGCAGGAGCACGAGTCTCAGCTATTCCTCTCTCACTTCAAGTCTGGTATGAAACAGTGTTGTGAATGTCATGCCAAAGTTCCTTCTCTACAGCTTGTTACTTTAGCCTGTGCCATATGTAGTCTGATAGAAGGTAGTACACTGAATTGCTGTCCGCCATGCCTAACTTCAGCATTATCTGATGGTACAGATGAATGGCATGACAGGGTTGAAATAGGCCAAGAGCCTTTCCTATCAAATCTTTACCTTAAAATTAGTCTTCAGCATTTCCTAACCAATCCTTCTATATTATGTTACTGATAAATATCCCTACAGTTGATGAAGCATGGTTAAATAATATATGCAGCAACCATACAGCCATACATTAAAGCCTGTTCCCATATTTCATAGAACAAGCAATATGAAAGTAATGAAAATAATATTATGTAAGATTTGATATTCTCACACTGATGGTCACAAAGAGTTCTGTCATCCAGGATAAGATGCTGTTTAGTCTGTTGAAAGTCAGCTGACGTTTTGGAAGAACACATAGCCTCCATCTTCAGGGTCAGAGAATAAGCCAAGCAAGAAAGCATGAAAGGTGGTTGGTTGACTTTCAGTGGACTAATGGCTTTATATTTCAGAAGATAGAAATCTTCAAAAATAATATTTATTGCGCAGATTTCTAAAATGTTATGATTCATGGTTAATTGTTAGAGAGATGAGTTTCTGACTGTTTGTATGGTTAATTGTTAGAGAGATGAGTTTCTGACTGTTTGTACAGTATAAGAGTATGTTACAGAAGTTTTATGAATTATCACCAGGTATTCGATACCTGCCTGGGGGAGTGGCCAGTGGATTTCACCATGTGGATCCTGATGCAGTAGAAAAGAAGCTGTTTCAAGTTAAGGGTAAACGAAATGTTCGAGTCAGACAGGTAAGGTACAGTAGTTTCAAGTATTGTTTAAAGTACTTGGAGGTCAGCCTCACCTTGTAATTAACTGAAGAGTTTATAACTGATTAAAAGTGTGCAATGCCATTTCTCATATAAATTTCTGAAGTCATGGTGTGCGTATTGAAAGACCTTGGTTAGTAGCCTCATTAGTCTCTTTAATTATCAAATAAAATAATTAATTTAATGTATATGTAAGTAATTTTATATTTATGAATATAAACTTTGAGCCTGAATTTTCATCATGGAGGCCTGGGTTTAATACCAGGACAGTTCATGTGAAGATTGTGATGGACAGAGTAATGTTGGTATTTTGGCTCCCATGCTAATCATCCAACCAGCATTCCATATTCACTGTCAGTGCACCTGATGTATCACAGTATCTTTACCTTGATAATCAGAGATTTATTCCTGAACTTGCAATTAACAAATCTAAGTAGTTTTCGGTTTCATAAATTTCCCCAGTTGAAGGAACAGTGGTTACAACAGTCTGGATTGTTTTACACTTCCTAGGTGAATCTAAGTGCTGCAGCAATGAACAAAGGTGACTGCTTTATCTTGGATGCTGGGAAACAGATCTTTGTGTATGTGGGTCAGAAGAGCAAAAAAACAGAACGACTGAAGGCCATTAGTGCTGCCAACCAAATCAGAGACCAAGACCATGCTGGCAGAGCTGAAGTTCACATCATAGGCAAGTAAGAAAGCTGTGCATGATAAATGATTGAGACCTGCAAAGCACTTTGATGTTAAGCATATTATAGAATGTTATATAATGGAACCGCTGTTGTGATTGCTTGCAGATGAATACAGTAGTCAGCCTGAGACTTGTCGTTTCTTTGAGGAGCTTGGTTCAGGCTCACCAGATGAAGTTGCTGATGAAACAGTAGGTGGAGATGATGCAGAGTTTGAGAAGAAACAAGAGGTATGGACTTACTAAATGGCCATCATTGCAATGTAATTAGCTTTGAAATAGCAAATGATTTCTAATTTAGGGCACCCAGCTGATGTGATAGCAGTTTTATCTCTGTAAATATAATGGTTGTAGAGTGAAATGATAAATATTCCCTTTCACTTTTCATGTTCTCTCACAAATTACATGTAGACACATACTCTATCATACTTTTAATGAAAATGATTCAACTTGAATTGTCTTAACATAAAGAAAGAATATCTTTTCAGAACTCATAAAGCCAAATGTCTTATTGAACGAATTTTTATTCCATAGAATCTTATTATCTTATCTTTTTTAGATGATGTAAGTTTACAACCCGAGAATAAAATGTAATTCTTTTAATTAGTGAAGTCAGTTACTTGTTTGAAATATATGGAATGCAAACAGGGATGTGTTCATCTCCTTACTTCCTTACTCATGGAGTTGAGACCTTCTGGAGGAGCCACCAGTTCTGCAGCTACTCAAGAAAATCCCAGCATTTTATGGAACCTGAAAGTTCATTACCGTGTTCACAAGAGCCCTCCACTGGTCCCTATCCTGCGCCAGATCAATCCAATCCATACCATCCCATCGTATCTCTCTAAGATCCATTTTAATATTGTCCACCCACCTAAGCCTTGGCCTTCCTGGTGGTCTCTTTCCTTCTGGCTTTCCCACCCATATCCTATACGCATTCCTCATCTCCCCCATTCGTGCTACATGCCCTGCCCACCTCATCCTCCTTGACTTGATCATTCTAATTATACTTGGAAAAGAGTGCAAGTTATGAAGCTCCTCATTATGCAGTTTTCTCCAACCTCCTGTCCTGTCTCTCTTCGGTCCAAATGTTCTCCTGAACACCCTCAGTCTATGTTCCTCCCTTAATGTCAGAGACAAAGTTTCATACCCATACAGAACCACAGGCAGAATTATAGTTTTGTATATTCTGATTTTAATGTTTTTGGACAGCAGATGAGAAGACAAAAGGTTCTCAACTGAATGGTAGCAGTCATTACCACATTTTCAAAATATCTGTTTCCTATCTTTATGCCATGATTTTGCCCTACATTTTGGTGACAAGACAGCAACATATACTTAGTTTTCTCTGTGTTTACTTCTAGACCAACCTCTTTACTTGTGTCAATTATAATTTGTGTGTTTTTCTTTATGGTATCTACATTATCACCCAGTAGCACAGGCCAACAGCTGATGTGTCCCGTTTAATTTCAGTCCCAGCTGGTTTCCCTGGACCTTCCTAATGGCATATTCTAAAGAAAAGTTGAAAAGGAGTGGCGATAAAGCATCTCCTTATTTTAGACCATTCTGGATAGAAAATTAATCAGACAAATTGTTACCTACACGGACTTTACTATACGTTTCGTTTAAACACATTTTAATCAACCTAACTGGCTTCATGGGTATCCCAAACTGTATTAGAATATTGTACAGTACTTCCCTCCTAACTGAATCGTAGGCTTTCTTGAAGTCTATGAATAGCTGATGTACTGTCTCATTGTACTCCCATTTTTTCCTCCAATATCTGACGAATGCAAAAGATCTGATCTGTAGTTGATCTGTTACGTCGAAATGATGATCCCCAATAATTTCATCTCTATATGGGCTTAACCTTGAATATTGGACAAAATTTTACATGAAGTTGATAGCAGTGATATCCCCCGATAATTACTACAGTCAGTTTTATCACCCTTCTTGTGAACTGGTACAATAATAGACTCCTTCCACTGATCAGGCAATTTTTCCTTGTGCCAAATAGAAGTAATTAGATTGTGGATCTTAGAACGTAATATTTCGCCTCCTGCTTGAATAAGTTCTGCCGGAATTTGATCACTACCTGGCGATTTATACCTTCTCAATTTTGCAATAGCACTTTCAACCTCAAAAGGGCTAGGATCAGGTACTAATGGCTCAGCTGTATCGATTTCTGTCTGCCTAACATCACTGACCCCATGCACATTTAATAACTGAGAGTAGTTCCTCCACCTATTCAAAATATTGTGGGAATCTGCAAGCAGATCACCATTCTCATCCCTCACTAAGTTAGTGCTAGGTTGGTAACAGCTCTTAAAGCCATTTATCCTCTATACAGGTCTCTAATATTCTTGTTCTTACTGTTCACTGCAAGCTCATCAATTTTGTCTTTCAGATATTCCCTCTTTTTGTTCATCTCATTAACTAACCATATATATAACTGAATATTGCAGGCTGTTGTAGTACTATACCGTGTAAGCGATTCAAGTGGAGAGGTGACTGTGGACAAAGTTGCAGAGAAACCGCTCCATCAAGATATGCTGAAGTCGACTGTATGTAAACAAATTTTGTTTTGTTTATGAATAATTGTGTGCTGTGATTTTGTGAATGCATGAGACTTTCTTTGAATGTGTAAAAAACAAAATATTAAATTGTACTTGCTTGAAATTTTTTGACACACGGGTATTTAATTTGTAATAGAATGGAGGAGATATTGAATTCTGTTTCAAGCTAAACATACTGTGTTTTTGTAGATTCTAAAGGGTTATGACAATGGTGTATAACACTCAGAGTTACTAGGTTTTTGGACTTTGTCCATTGTCTGGTAGACCAGTTTCTGAAACATTTGTTTTCTAGTTTTTAGAATACCAGGTAATGGACACAGTCCCAAAACCCAGTAACTCTGAGTGTTATACACCATTGTCAGAATTCTTTAGAATATTTGCATAACTAGAATGGAACAGGTATATACCCTTGCCGTAGGAAATTAGAACACCTAAAAGTTCAGTTAGCTAAAGCCCTCAGTTATGTAACTTTCCACATGAGATGCAAATCTCAAGGTATCATCCCCAAAGGCTTTTCTGTATTGACTCCCTTCAGTAGTTGACGCTCTTCCAAAATTGTCTAACATGCCATTCAGACACTTCTCAGTGCTAGGATACACTTTCATACAATAAGGCACGTCAACTCCAGAAAATGAAGAACTGGAGAATTTTGTCCAGTCATCTGTGAATAATTCTTACCAAAAGCGTATCTTCACCACTGTGGAAAGTTCATACAGAAATATCTTTAATAATCAAAAAGAGATTCATATACATAAGTTCTTCCTGCTCAGTAATCAACAGAATAGTTCTTGCCTACACCAGCTTCAGTTTCTAAGAAATTTATCCTTAATCTTTCAAAATATGTTCTCACAGACTCTGAGGAAGCAGCCCTTATGAAGGGTTTGAATTTTTCAGTAATGAATCCACATTGCAACCTGGATATGGCATGTGCTGTGAAATCAGTTGTTTGCAAGCATATACAGACTGTGGGTATGGAATTCAGGTGGAAAATTAGTTCCATGTTCAAGAAGTTTAAGTCTTCCAGGTCTAGCATGACTGAAGAATATTGGAAGCCATGAAATCTTTGAGGCATAACGAAGATATTAGGATTCTTCAGACAAACAGAGGCAACTTCATGGTGGTGTTGGGTGACTCAAAATACGAGGATAAGTTGAGCAGTTGCCAGATTTTGTGGTTTATGAGCACATGCCCAAAGATCCTACAGCTAAGGCTGAGAGCAAAGTATAGAGACCCTTTCCAAACACAGAACTACTCTGCCTACCAATCTAAAACATAAGTTGACTCCATATCACAACAAACTTCCGCATATGTATGGTCTTTCCAGAATTCACTTCATACACTTGTTGAAGTCTGTAGACCTTCAATCTTTAGATACCCTCATTAACTTTGACATCAATCTTTTCACTAATGTATCTGTCTACAAGGCTCTTCAAGTCATCAGAAATAAGCTCCATAACGATGACACACTCATGGAAAGCTCTGTCTTGCAGGTTGAAGTCATCATGAAACTGCTTGGAGGTTTGCTTGAGAATCACAAAAATTTCAGGTGGATGTCAGTTTCTTCCAATGAAAAGATGGCATGGCTATGGGAAGCTCTCTATCATCTACTGTAAGCAATATCTTCATTGAACATTCTGAGAAAGTGGCCCTTGACTTGGCACAACACAAACCATCGCTGTGGCTCCAGTTTTTTGATGACACATTTGTAGTCTGGCCTCATGGTCCAGAGTTTCCTCTGCCACCTCAGTAGTTCAAGGCCTTTCATCCAGTCTACTATGGAAATAGAATCAGACAGTGCAATTCCCTTTCTGGATGTTCTGATCATCAGGAAAGAGATGAGACTGGCCACCAAAGTCTACAGGAAACCCACACACGCACACACACACACACACACACACACACACACACACAGGCCAATTTCTCTATTGCAACTCTAACCATCTACCGCATGTGAAAAGAGGTCTGATTGAGAGTCTTCACAGTAGAGCTTCCACCATACGCTAAGTATGACAGATATGTTTAATCAAATTAGCAACTTGAGACGTTAGCTTCAGATCAACGGTTAACCCCAAAGCTTCGTTGACTCAGTCATTACTTCCAAGGGTAGCAGTGGTCCGAATAAAGAGAGAAAGACTCTGGGTTCTGTGTGTATTCCATATGTGAAGGGCGATTCAGAGAAGTTCAGATGTATAAGGAATTGATATAACATTAGGATGACCTTCAAAACTAAACACATTCTTACGAGTTCACTCATGAAAACCAGGCCAGAAAGAGATGTGCAATAGAAGGCACAGTGCATCTGTAGCATTCCCTGTGGATGTGGCAGAAGCTGCACTGGTGAAACAGGCAGGCCTCTAGCTGTGCAAATTCATGAATGTACACACACTCTCAAAGAGGGTCTTCTGGAAAATCAGAATTAGCCCAACATGCCTATGAAGAGGGTCACAGAGTAGGCTGGAATGAAGCTAGGATTTTGGAAATTGAAAGTAACAGCAGGTATAGGAAATACAAGGAATTGGCCCATACGGCATGTTTAACCTATCTGTGAGCATAAGTTTTGGAGTGGCACACTTTTGTCCAAACTTCTTGGGGTGAGCATAGCTGTTTTGTTTCCTTAATTATTTTCATAATTATTTACTGAATTGTTCTGTTTTACACTTTGTCCTGCATGTGGCTAAAAAGATGAATTTTTGTTTCTGATTTTCTATTATATTTTTCAATTATTTAAAAATTGTGTTCTTTTTAAAAATGTTAATGAAGTGTAAAATTTAAATACATGTTTGTGTGTTTTGAGCTTGCAACTAATGGTGTTATTTTTATCACTACAGGAACTTGACAGACAGGTATGAACCAATGCCACATATGTTACATTGTAGAACTACTGCAAACGCATGCAAGAATGTTGAACTAACTTTGGTTAATATAGCTGTAAATATGTCTTCAGGTAGTTCTGCATGGCTTTTGCTTTTTATTTGAATTCAGGCGCGCATGGGAAAAATGTCCTGGTTTTGAATCTCCGCACTGTGAGGTGTTATAGACTTTGACACTAGAAGGAAGTGAATAGTCAGCCTCGTGCTTCAAGATGTAAAATGTCTGGAGCCTCACCTCCACACCTACTGTATACCTTCAGTGTGAGATGTCTGGGTGGAGTCACATATTTACCTTTTATTTAGCAGACGTTTAATATTTTACCTACAATGTGTTTCTGTTTAATGATAATGTCTGTTAGTGCTAGAGGAATTAAATATATTGTTTCCATACTATACTTCTGTATTTAGGATTAGTTCTCTGTCTGTTGATTTCTACTCTTTGGGCAGTCAATGTCATTAGTCCGTGGGATCAGCAGTGCTTTCCTGGTAGTTTGTCATTAAATGCAAAGGAAGTAAATTTGAGCCTGATAGTTTTATTAACACTGATCAAAAATTAGAATTTATAATTTTTATATGATCACTTAAAGTCTTTTTAGATATCATCCTTTTCCATGCTTAATCATGATGGGAATAAATTATTCACCAATTAAGAAATTTGCCATAGCTTGAGCTTTTCATCTGTCCATGCCATATATTCCTTATAAGGTATCTCTCAAGGCTGTGGTTTTCTACAATGTGACACCATTTTGAAATGGTGGATACAATATAGAGTTTCCTCTCCATAGAGAACAGTCACATGAGGTTTGAGGTTTTCATGGCCATGGATGTTAAGGTTACTGTCTACTGTGATGCAGTTGTGTCCCACAAGACCACACCTCCAATATTCACCACCATGAGAACATCAAGTCTCATCAGATGTGAGTGATACAGTATTTGTGAATCGGTATAATTTACTCAGTCATGAAATCGAGAGTTTCCTGTCTAAGTGAATGTATTTATATTAATGTTAATGATCGGTATGGATTTGGCTTTTGGGACTAAGCTGCATCAAATGGTGAGGGTTTTTCATTATTTCAGCAAACCTTGCAGTTGCCATTTCATGTCACTGGGAGAGAAGAGAGCAGTAATTTTGTGGTCTTCTTGTAGATTTCTGCTTCTCAGCACTCCCCTTTACCTAAAACTGAGTACACCATCAAGTAATTGTTTTTTTCAGATTGTACTTCTCTTCCATGTATACGTTGAAAATTATGTTGCACGGTTATAGTCAATTTGTACTCAGCGTACTGTAGCATGCATTGAGCTTTCTGCTGAATGGATGCCATCTGTCAGACTAACTGGGACCAAGCACATAGCTTGAATACCACCACACAATTATGAACATCAAGTATCACTGTGACACTAATGTTGCATGGGACAGGTGAAGATAAAACCTGGAGAGTTTTAACATATTCCATTACAAATGCAATTGTCACTTGTCTCAAATTTTCTGATGTCTTAAACAGTGAAATCCTGGGATACTTTTTTGATTACCGAACACACACACACACATACACTGTTTGTATGTATATGTGCATGGGTGTATATAAGGTATCACTGTCTGACCTCATCAGTGGTTTCTTTGGTGCAAAGATGTGCTCCTGATGATCCTCCATGAAGCTTTGTCAGTACATCTTTTTCTTGATCCAGGGGAGATTACAGGGGCTGTCTTGAACCATCCATTGGCCAACTTTTGGTGTTGCTCCAGCACACTACCACCCACCACAAAGGAGTTCTGCTGAGCCCAGTAACTCTTGTAGATGTGAATGCATTTGGCTGTATCTGTCCACTTTGAATGATGTCCTACTTCTGTTCTCTGTAGAAACAGTCCCACATCATCATAATCCAGTTGCTCCCAGTTCAGGACTGCATAGTCCCAGCCATCTGCTGTGGCAGCAGCAACGACTTGTACCCTCAGGTTGCCAGACTACTATATTATATTTAAGCATCCTGTTACACTATACACTTCTGTATGTAATAATACAAATGCTGCCATGAATGCAACAGTTTATTTGGTTGAAGATCTTTGTCTTTTCTTCCTCTACACTACATGTACTACTTTAAATTTTGAACTTTTAAATACTGGTATTTAAAACTGTAAGTTTTGAACTTCAAAATTTCAAACTGTAATTCTAAAATCAAACTGACGAGCGTGTGTTGGCGAGATTTTGAAACAAAACTGACAGGCTGATGTTTTAGATTTTGGACTGTGTGCAGTGTGACAGCTACGTAGTGAAAAATACACTTGATGATAGCCAATTACGGCCAAAACATGTAGCGTAGAGGAAGAAAAGACAAAGATCTACAACCAAATAAATTGTTGCATTCATGACGGCATTTGTATTATTACATATAGAATTGCCAGACTACCTCTCAAGATTCTTAAGGTCAGCACATGTCTCATGGCATTGTTTTCACTAGACTGCATCTGTGATGGTATGCTTCCACCCTTGTTGATCTTCGGATGTGAAATTATACTTTTGGAAACACTGAACCCAATGTGTGTCTTATCTTCAGCGTTCTTGGAAGTAAGGAACCAGGTCAGGGTGTAGTGGTCAGTGTCAAGGTGGAATTCTTGTCTGTAGAAGTATTTATGAAAGTGTTCCAACATTTTCATAATTGCCAATATCTCTTCTTGAGTGAAGCAGTAGTATCTCTCAGCCTAGAATAGGGTCCTGCTGTAATATGCTACTATGATCCTGGGTCTTTGCACTTATGACAACACACCTGCAATCTCCACATTGCTCATGACCATGTCAAAGTCTGGTAGGATGTACACAGGCTAAGGAGCTCCTTAGCTCACGCTTGTCTTTCAGTAGTGGCCACTCCCACTCAGCCCTTAGCTCCATAACTTCATGATATGTCCCAGGTACCATATCTTCTACTGGAACAGCTATCATTTGTTTGGGTTGAGTTTGAGGTGGGACACCAAGTGTGGGTTATCAGGCTGCATCTACATATATTCATGATTCTGGTGGGTACCTCCTGTTGAGCTTGATTCAAATTCCTGGCTGTGTACAATTCTTTTTGCAGGAAATCTTCAAAGCTAGTTCCTCTAGACTGTGTGCTACCTTCATCTCTTTAGTCACCACCCTCTGACATTATATTGGTATCATCTTGTCTCTGGCTAGCATAATGAAGGATGATCATGGTCTGGCTTCAGGACACCATAATGGCGTCTCTTCTTGACTTAGTAAAAACACATTGTGCTTCACATCAACTGTTGTGTTAAAAATTTATAGGATGTCCAGCCCCATGATGAATTTGTGTGTGATCTTTCTGATGAACACCCAGATTTTTAGCGTACTCTGCCCCTGAGTTGGTTCTACCAATGCCTCTTTGGGGATAGGAAGAGTATTCCCTGACACCATCTGCAGGTCTTACAGCTGACTTGGCTTTATCTCGGGCAGTCCTGCAGTAATGTCAGGCCTGGTGATGGTTGTGGATGCCCTGTTGCCAATGGTCATGAGGCATGGCTTTTTGTCTGTTCAGCCTGCTGCATTCAGGCTCCTCTTGGTTCAGACATTGAGTGTGAAACAAAGGGATCTGGTTGGTGATCCTAGTGCCTTCTCTGTTTGGCTCTAACTCATTTTGTGAGTCCTGGTCACCCCCCCCCCCAGTTGAATGTCTCCTCTGAGATGAGTAATATCCCCACATTGCCATGTGCAGTCCTGTCCTCCAGTGCTCAGATCCCAGATGGAACTTTCTTCTTAAAATGTGCCTTTCAAAGCCATCAGTGGATTTAATTGTTACACCTTTTATATCTGTATTGTCAGTAATGTGATTCTTACCCTTCTCTATGTGTGTAGTACTAAGCTCCAGGCCGTCATACATATTATGACTGCTTATTATTTTAAGGTTAACTGCTCAGAATTTCCTTTTTTCTCATTCTACATATCAGATCACTCCATTAATCTTGTACTGGATTTTAATCAAATGATTGATAGTTAGCATTTGCTTCAAAAGTCACTTAACTTTGTGTCATGGTGATGATATGATGCTAATGGTGCAAGGATTAGAAATTATTGCTAGTATTGAATATAAAGCTTCTTCCTACATTGTCATGAATTCCTGTGACAATTCCTGGTGTCACAATTTTCAGATATATTTGCAACTCTTAAGAGAACTTTTATAAAATGCATATTGATATTCTGTGTATGATAGAGACTGCACAATCCACATTGCAGTGTTGATGAAGCAGTGGCACTTCTGGCAGTTAGGATTGTTCAACAGTTTTGCAAATTCTACGATAAATATTGTGCATCTCATTAAATCAAACCTGTCTGTCAGGAATTTGTCAATGTAGGCTTGAGCAGAGATGTGCAGATTCCAGTTTAGTGTACCATACATACAATAGTGTTGTGAATGAGAGCAAGTGAAGGAATTAATGTTTCAGGACTGCTATATTTTGGACACAGTCACGTCTGGGATCTTTGTTTGGATTGGCAAGCATTGTACAAAAGATGAGAAGGTAGAGGCCATGAAGTTAGCTCAGAAGTTCCTTGCCACAAACAACTACCCAGTATGGACAAAGGTACGTAGTTTCATTAGTACAGTTCTTCTCAAGTCTTCAGTGCATAAATTCTATTATAAATTATGGCTCAGTTGCTACTAATATTTTTTGGGCAAGTGATTGAAAAATTACAGTGGTAAATGAGTATTTCTAAATTTTCTTCACAATTTTAAGTGTTGTTTATAGAGAATTTTTTCCTTGCTTCCTGTTAATGGCTTTAGCTACATGTACTGATTATTGCACAGATGTCAAAGTCGTTTCAAAAAATTGGGAAAGGATTAGGAACCCTACATACAGAGCACCTGTTTCTTAGAGATGTAGAAATTATCCTGTGTAGTACATTCTGGGGAGGGGGTGTATGCACACAGGAATGCCAAAAGGAAAGAGACCACTAAGAAGACATAGCTGTAGGTGGTAGGATGATGTTAAATTTTTTTCATAAACAAATAGGATGGAGTGGTATGGACTAGTTTCATCTGGCTCAGGATAGGGCCCAGTGGAGGGTTATTGTGAATGTGGTAATGACACCTTGGGTGCCATGAAACATGAAATTCTTCAGTAGCTGAGTGACTAGTGGCTTCTCAAGAAGATACTCAGCTCCATGGAGATAGTAAAAATTATCACAGCTGTAACATTTGAATTGTTTTAAGAACTGGCATACTAAAAATTGTGGCGTGTGGTATATCAAAAATTGTTTTGAAGCATCACATGTACTTATGTTTCACTACACATTATGCCAGAAGTTTATTCACGAGATTAGAAATAAATTTTAAAAAACATATTTACATGATGGAATCATATCTGTATATCCTCAATAGTGCATCAATGATATTTCTTGTAAGCCAGCATAGCAACTATGTAGGATTTGAGGTGTCCACAGCAGTGGTTATGGTTGGGATATAATGCCATGTAGTCCATTGAAAGTCAACTGGTGTCATCAGAGTTTGAAGAATAAGCCAAGCAAGAAAACAGCATGAAGCTGATAGCAAACAGAGCTGCTACCTGCTTGCTACATGCTTCATGCTGGTTTCTTCCTTGGTTTATTCTTCTACCCCGAAGATGGCGGCAACCTGTTCCTCTGAAATGATGGTTGACTTTCAGTGAACTACATGGTGTTATATCCCATTATGTATCATCAACATAGTAGCTCTTATCGCAATTAATTCTCACCTCCTTTGAAAGGTATGCTATAATGTAAGTTAACAGCATATTTTCTTTTTCCTGGTTTATTAAACAGTAATGTCAGTAGCTCAGACTATAAAGTTATGTAGAGTATTAACTACTCATAGTTAGCTAACTGGTAAACAAATATTCAACACCACTATGACCAAAACCTACCATACTTACTACCTACTTCCCTAAGATACTTTTCCATCTGAAGTGTATGTATACCCTTGTCATCCAGCACATGACAAACTCCAAGATTTCGTTATTCAAACAATAGTAAGTGACTATTTTATTGCTAGTGGGGTGGGACTAAGTCCCTTGTACTGTGGCCACTTCTGGCCTATTGTACCAGCCCCAGATGGTAGGTGATAAGTGGAGCAATTGGTGGAATGAAGATGGGCAAGGGAAACCGAAATACTCGGAGAAAACCTGCCCCAGCGCCACTTTGCCCACTACAAATCCCACTTGACCAGACCCAGGATCGAACCCGGGCCGCCGCGGTGGGAAGCCAGTGACTTACTGCTTGAGCTATGGCGTGGTCTACTAGTAAGTGGCTAATTTCCTCATCGTATATTGCCGTAAATTGTCCATTTACTTAATCCTTCTTAGATTCAGATACTTTTCTGATAATTTTATTTTCAGACACCTGTAATTTACATTCTTCCTTCAAAGTAAGAGACAGTAATTATAAAAGGTTAATTAATTCCATCCAGTGTGACTGATCTAGTTTTTTCTCTCATTTTTAATCAAGGATAAAATATTAAAAAGGAGAAAAACTTCGTCAGTCACACTGGATGGAATTAATTAACCTTTTATAATATTGTTAGTATGACGGACCAGGATGAAACAAATCACACCAAGAGACACCAAGTTTAAAAATTTTACATGTGTGCGTGTGAATGTGTATACATATGTATGTCATGATATTTGGTGTAGATATGTATATTGGAAAGTAGATGGAAGCTGAGTAGTAAATAATAAGCATTTCCAGGATTTACTTTTCAATTGATTTCATCACAAATCTCATTTCTTCTTGTCACTGCTGTACCCAGGTGATTGAATTTTGTAGCTAAAAAAACTGGTATTTAAATGTTCTTTTTATAAGAATATTGCACTGCTGAGGTCACAAAATTTCTCCCAGCTTAAATCCCATGAAGAAAGTGTTGAAACTTCATGAAACTTCTTATGTGATAAGATCACTTCTTTTACAGGTTAAGAATGAAGGTGGAGAGAAGTATACTCAGTTCAATGTTTCAGATCCAAAGAATAGTAGAAGATGGAGAGCCTTCTGCATTCAAGCAGTATTTCAGTGGTTGGAGGGAAGCAGAAGATCAGATTGGACTAGGGCGAGTCTTCACACTGGAACAAATTGCAGGTGAGTAACTGAATATGCAGGCAATAATTGTAATTAAAGTATTATACCCTTAAATGGCCAAGCTCCCAGTAAACCTGTGGCATCTGGGTGCATCACATAAAAAATATTTTGTAATGATTTGATTATGAATTCTCTGAATACAGTAGACCCTCACTGTACTGTGGATTTGGGTATCCTGCAACTTTGGTCATGACCCTCAATATTCTTATCTGTTTTATGTCATGCAAATTTCTCTGAAATATTGTAGTTATATTATAAGACTACTGCAACATTACTTCTTGTACTTTGCAGGTGAAGAGGTTGACATCCATAGTCTGATATGAATAGACCATATTTTTTGGGTTTCTTTTACCATGGGATTACTTTATTCAAACATCACCATTTAATGAACACCATGGTACCTGCTGGACTGCATTCTGAAATCTGCCTTAAGTTTCATGTACATATTCTAATCAGTGCGTAAATAATGGATAAATAATTGATCCCAAAATTGCCATATTGCACCTACTTTTTTGATAAAAAAGTGTCTGAGAATTACTGGGTTTTGGTGTTATACACAATCGTCAGAACCCTGTAGAATGCATGAAATGTTTTTTTTTTTTCTTTTTATAAAAACTTGATCCCCTGAAAAATATTGTGACGTATTTGCGCTATGCATGACACCCCCTCCCCTGTCAGTGGTGACGTAACACTTTCGGAGCGTTGCCGCTGCTATGGTAATAGGCCATTCAACACCTTGCCCCCTCCCATGGTGACGTGACCAAGGGATGCCGCAGTTGCTATGCAGCAGTAAACAGCTACCAACAGCGTTGCTAGGCTATCGGCAAACATGGCGTCAGGCAACAGCGGTACCTATCATGTAACTGTTTTCTGTCTTGTCCGTGCAGAGGCTAAATAAGGAGCAGCGAACACTATTCAGAGTTAGTAGTGTGTGATCAGGAGTGACACAGTTGGAATATAGCAGCAGTCATGGAAAGAAGAAGCGGACTCGTGATCAGTCGAGCTTATATGTGATGATCAGTGATAGTTTGTGATAACAGAGAAGGTATTGGGAGTGAGTAATTAAGTGACACTTGTATAGCTTCCATGTTATAAATACATGAAGGCTACTGAGGACAGAGTGAAGAGATTATTGTGCAGGGTTGTAAATTGTGTAAACCCATAACAGTGTTATAATTAATTGTAGCCAAGACTTGTAGGTTGTTAAATAAACCAATTAACAATCCGAACGGCGTCTTCCATAGCAAAAACACGTTACAATATCCATTATTCTGTAGATGACTGAGCCCATGATGCCAGTATTGTGTGTTGCAAGAACCTTTATAGAGATTTTTAGGGTTTGAGAAGAATGGAAAATATTAAAATGAACTTTTCAGAAATTGATACTCTTCTGTTGTTAATTAATTGCTAACACTTTCTCTGTACAGTAAGTCATAAACATGAAAATACTTACTTAAATAAGAGAACACTGCAATGAAATGCCGCAAGGTGGTTCAGATCCTATGAACAGACATTCAAATCCTGTTCTTGCCAGTTGATCTGCCATATCATTACCCACAATACCCTCATGACCTGACATCCACATCAGTTGGACCTTGGTATGTTCAGCCAGTTGTGTGAGGGATTGGTGGCAATCCCAGACCAGTTTTGAGGTGATCTGGTGTTTGCCAAGTGCTTTAATTGGAGCTTCACTATCTGATGGAATATAAATGTTTCTATTTTTATAGTTTCTCACTAGATTCTCAAATGCACATACCTAAATTGCATACAGTTCTGCCTGGAATACCTCCCAATGCTAAAGCTAAGTTTCCGCCTTGATCCATGATAATACACCCCAGCTCCAGTGCCTTCTTTTTTTGTCTTGGAACCATCCATATACCAGATTAGTCCCCCTTTTTTTTGTTGGGTTCAAACCCCTTTTTCAGTTCACTTCTATCAGAGAATCTGATTGTGAAGAGTTTATCATAGGCATGTCTCGGTATCATTTTATCAGATCCCCATCTGTAGGATGGGTTCTTTTTCCATATCCTGAGTCATGTGTGCATGTCCAAAACCTTCAGATTAGGGTTTCCATTGATTGTTGCAATGTAGTCTGTAATTTCCTACCTGGGCCTCTGCTTCCACCTTCAGGTATAGTGTGGGTGATGTCCAAGGAGGACCTCCATTGCAGCTTTTGGAGCTGTTATCATTGCTCCTGTTATTCCCAAGCAGGCCATCGTTTGCAATTTGCTAAGTTCTGCCTGACTTGTCTTGAGTTTAACTCTAGGTCACCATATAGTGGCAGCATAGGTAACCACAGGTCTTACCACCGCAGTGGATATTCAATATATCACCCTTGGTTTAAGCCCCAAAGTTTTCCCGAATGTGCCTCTGCACGTCCAGAAGGCCTTGTTAATAACCTTATCCAGCTGCTATTTTTTTACATGTAATTTGTAGGGCACATGTTATTCCCATAAATTTCTGTATAATATCACATCTTCCTGCATGTTTGTAATCAAACTAAAGGTTCGGCCACACAGAGCGCTACGTACACTATGTTCGCTATATGAAGAGAAAAATATCTCCGTTTATTGCCAATGTGACTGGCCACACAGACTTCTGTACGCTACGTACACTATATTCCCTATGTTAGCTGCATCGTAGAGTGTACACAGCGTACGTAGTGAACATAGCATAGCGCTCTGTGTGGCTGAACCTTAATGGACATATGTATAAAATAAGAGGTTTTCATGGTGGTGAAGATTCATATTGTGGTCATCTGGGTCATGAAGCTTCAATCTGGTACCAGATAACACATAATAGAACTGATTTATAATTTTCATTTCTCATGAATCTGTATAGTTCTATGCCATAAATTTTCTGAGTAAGATGTTTAAATATTTGTGATATTCTGAAAATCAAGCTTGAGCAGTGAATGCCATGTTATCTAATTTGTACCCATGCTAGCCTTAATGCTTGAAGAAACATTCTCTAACCTCAGTTAAGTATTTGATTTATGTTACAAACTTTGACAATTTATTTTCAGCTAGTATGCCAGAACCAGACTTTGACCCAAGTAGTCTGCATGCTGGGAAACTCCGCTCCCTGGCTAAGAGTGGTGGCAAAGCCTTTGGATTCATGCCTGATGATGGATCTGGTAATGTTGAAATATTCCGTATTGAGAACTTTGAACTGACACCAGTGGATCCAGCTACATATGGCATGTTCTTTGGTGGAGATTCCTATGTTATCAAGTATACATATGAAAAGAATGGACGTCAGAACTATGTTATCTATTTCTGGCAGGTATGTCAATATATTTCTTACTTAATACATCAGTCACTCACTCATGGAGCTGAGCCCTTCTTGAGAAGCTGCCAGTTGTGCAGCAACTCAAGAACTTCCCAGCATTTTATGGAACTGGAAGGTTCATTACCATATTTACAAGAACTCTCCACTGGTCCCTATCCTGAACCAAATCAGTCCAATCCATACCATCCCATCCTATATCTCTACGATCCATTTTAATATTTTCCACCCACCTAAGCCTTGGTCTTCCCAGTGGTCTCTCGACATCTAGCTTTCCCACCAATATCCTATATGCATTCCTCTTTTCCCCCATTCATGCTACATGCCCTGACCATCTCATCCTCATTCACTTGGTCGTTCTAATTATACTTGGTGAAGAGTACAAGTTATGAAGCTCCTCATTATGCAGTTTTCTCCAACCTCCTGTGACTTAATCTCTCTTCGGTCCAAATATTCTCCTGAAATACCCTGTTCACAAACACCCCGTTATGTCAGAGACAAATTTTCACATCCATGTAGAATCCCAGGCAGATTTATAGTTTTGTATATTCTGATTTTTATGTTTTTAGACAGCAGACAAGAATACTAAAGGTTCTGGACTGAATGGTAGCAAGCATTACCTGAATTCAGTCTCCTCTTAATTTTCTCCTGAATCGGGTTTTGATTTGCTAGACCTGTTCCCAAATATCTCAACTGTGTCACATTTTCAAAACAACTGTTAGCTATCTTTATGTCATGATTTTGCCCTGCATTCTGGTGACATGACAGCAACATACACTTAATTTTCTGTGTCTTTACTTCTAGACCAACCTTTTTACTAGTGTCAGTTAAAGTCTGTGTGTTTTTCTTTATCGTATCTATGTTATCACCTAGTAGATTTACATCATGAGCATAGACCAACAGTTTATGTGTCCCATTTATTTTTTCTTTCCCACCTGTTTTTCCTGGACCTTACTAATGGCATATTCTAAACCAAAGTTGAAAAGGAGTGGCGATAAAGCATTTCCTCGTTTTAGACCATTCTGGATAAGAAAATTATCAGACAATTTTTACCTATATGGAATTTACTGTGCTTCATTTAAACACATTTTAGTCTGCCTAACTAATTTCATGGGTACCCAAAATTATCAGAATATTGTACAATATTTCCTCCTAACTGAATCATAGGATTTTTTGAAGCCTACAAATAGCTGATGTATTGTCTCATTGTATTCCCGTTTCTTCTTCAGCATCTGATGAATGCATGAGATCTGATCAGTAGTTGATCTCTTATTTCGAAACCCACACTCATGGTCCTCAGTAATTTCATCTTTGTGTGGACTTAACCTTGAGAGAAGAATATTGGTTAAAATTTTGTATGAAGATAATAGCAGTGATATCCCCCGATAATTACTACAGTCAGTTTTATCACCCTTCTTGTGAACTGGTACAATAATAGACTCCTTCCACTGGTCAGGCAAATTTTCCGTATTCCAAATAGAATTAATTAGCTTATGCATCTCAGAATGTAATATTTCACCTCCTGCTTGAATAACTTCTGCTGGAATTCGATCACTACCTTTCAATTTATACCTTTTCAATTTTGCAATAGCACTTTCGACCTCAAAAGGGCTTGGATCAGGTACTAACAGCTCAGCTGTATGTATTTCTATCTACCTAACATCACTGACCCCATGTACATTCAATAACTGAAAGAAGTAGTTCTTTCACCCATTCAAATTGTTGTGGGAATCTGCAAGCAGTTCACCATTCTCATCCTTCACTAAGTTACTGCTAGGCTGGTAACCCCTCTTAAAGTCATTTATTCCTCTATATAAGTCTCTAATATTCTTGTTCTTACTGTTCATTGCAAGCTCATCAATTTTGTCTCATGGAGATTACCTCTATTTATTCCTAAAATTCCTTCTGGTTTCACATCTTATGTTGTTCAGATTATCTTCCTTTATTTCCTTTGGATGGTGTAACCACTGCAATTTGGCTTGTTTCCTTTGGTCTAATAATTTTGAGGATCTTCATCGAACCATGGCTTATGCTTCTCCAGTTCATAATAACCTACACTCTCTTTGGCAGAAACTTTTATATTCTCTCTAATAGTTTCCCAGGCTCCATTAATATCCACCTCAGTGTCTAAGTTTTCCAAAGCTGCAAACCTGTTTGATATTTCAACATGATACTGCTCTTTATTCTCTACCCCATTTAATTTCTTGAGATTGGACCTCTCCATATGAACTCTGTGCGTTGTTTGTTTACTCACTGCCTGTCTCTCCCAAAATTCTGCCACCACCAGATATTGGTCAGTATCACAATCTGCTGCTCTGAATGGACATTATATTTGAATGCTGTCTCCTATCTCTCAAATATGGTCAATTTCGTTGTGTGTCTTTCCATCAGGAGATGTCCAAGTAAATTTATGAATATTACGATGTGGGAACATTGTACTTTTGACAGTAAGATTCTCAGATGTGGCAAAGTTTACTACTCTAACTTCTTTACCATTACTAATTTCTTGTAAACTCTCATTCCCAGTTGTTGGTTTGAAAATATCTTTCCTACGTACTCTGGCATTAAAATATCCTAACAAAATTGTCATATAGTATTTAAGGAATTTGTTGAATACATACTTCTTTTGGACTTCATCCATCATCTGGTATGTAAAAGACAAAAGACCATGACGTTTCGGAGACTGGATCTGTCTCCGTCATCAAGTGGGTTATACACAGTGCTTGAGGTTGGGTGGGATGCGGTGGGATGGCATCCCGGTTCTTTTCTAAATGGCTTAAAAGCATCCCGTTTCTTCTTTGGCAGTAAATGCAATGTACAATACCCAGGGCTTGAGGTGGGGCGGGTTGCGGCAGGATGGCATCCTGGTTCTATTTTCATTCCACCTCAAGCACTGGTTGTACAGTATTATATTATTATACAGTATAATATTAGGACCGTCCTCAAAACTAGACACACTTTATGATCTTCACTCGTAAGAACGAGACCAAAAAGGGATCCTCAACAGCCAGCACAGTGTGCTATAGCATTCCCTGTCAATGTGGCAGAAGCTACATTGGTGAAGCAGGCAGACCACTGTCTGTGTGAATCCGTGAACACAGGCAGAATCTCAAGCAGGGTCTTCTAGAGAAATCCAGGTTGGCTCAGCATGCATATGAAGAAGGTCACAGGGTAAGCTGGGACGAAGCTAGGATCTTTGAGGTTGAAAGTAATAGCAGGTACAGAAAGTACAAAGAATCAGCTCATATGGCATGTTCAACCAATCCGATCAGCCAACCCAGTTTGGATATTTCTCCCACATGGATCCCCCTCATCAATGAAGAGGTTAACAAATCAAAAATGTAATTTTTTATGAATTATACTTCTGTTTTTTACATTGTTGACATGTGCATGCTTGGCACAAATTTTCTATCATGTCTTTTACTGTGATTTTATTCTTTTCTCCCACTGATGGAACTGGTTGTCGGTTGTTCATAGGTTGTTTTTTTACAGACAGGGGTTTGTCCAGTGATTGAGACTAGCTCTCTCTAATGGGCCCAACTGAGTAGGTTTATCCTTCCCTACCCACCTGAAGATGGAGACAGATTCTGTCTCTGAAACGTCATGGTCTTTTGTCTTTTACATACCAGATGATGGATGAAGTCCAAAATAAGCCAAAAGACGTACAGTATACACCATCGTCAGAATCCTTTCAAGTATATCTTTGTTGAATACATGCTAAAATATCACATGGGACAAAGTGAAAAAGCTCTAATGATCGTGGTAAATGTTCATTTATTCATACAGATTGTAGTCTTAAATATCATACCCAAAACCAAATGTACCAAAAAGCAGTGGAAAATCATTAAGAATTTTCCCATTTCTTGACATACACAGTGGATGTTTGAAATTCTGTGCGTTGTATTTTGCACCATTTCACAGGATTTGCTACATATAATTGTAATAACTTCCCTTTATGTTGGCCAGTAATAACTTAAGCACTGCATTTAATTTTTGTTTATTGAATTAGCCCAGTATGTAGTAGAATGTAGTTTACTTCATAGAATAAAATATTCATGTGACACCTTTGTGCAGGGTCAAGACAGTACACAGGATGAGAGAACAGCATCTGCAGTCCATACTGTGCAAATGGATAGTAAACTGGGAGGAAGGGCTGTACAAGTTCGAGTTACCCAGGGCCATGAACCACGTCACTTCTTGCGAATCTTCAAAGGTTATAGAATAATAATATCTGCCTTGAGTCCTTATTGATGATTTTATAGGTCATTTAACTAATTCCATGGGATGGGATATTCCTTGAAAAGGCTATGTTTGCTGAGGCAATAAAATAAAATATGCTACTTTTATGGAACCTAGAATTTCATCACTGTGTCCAGAAGAGTTTGCCATTAAACTGTGAGCTGTTATTTGAATCCAGACCACAGTTTCACATCCTACTTTCCTGAGAAAAATTTTGTACATATTTATAATTTCCCCATGCATGCTACATGTCATTAATATTGTTTAAAACAGGTAAACACTCAAACTTGCCACTTTCATTAGAAATAATGTGTTGTCATAAATAACTTAAATACCTGTTGCATTTAGAACTAATTCTTATGTGACACATATTCGCTGAGTTTTTCAGTAATCACTGTTATATTCTTAGAGCATTCTCATGAGCAATGGTGGACAGACAGTGTAGACAAATCAATTTCCCATTAAATATCCCTAGAGAACGTGATAAGATCATATCTTCTCCAATGGAATAGCTATTTTATTTGAAATTAATTCACTTTAATTTCCAACAGAAATGAACTCTGAGGACATAATTCCAGTTCTGTTGTGAATTCACATTTTGTGCAGTGCTGTGAAGTTACATGCTTGTGGCTTCCTGTCTCTCTTCATGTACCGTGAAACTCAGCTCAGTAGGTTGATGGAAATTAACATATTTGAATTACAGGCAAGATGGTAGTCTTCCTGGGTGGTAAAGCCAGTGGTTTCCGCAACCTTCGTGACCATGATACATATGATGCTGATGGTACAAGACTTTTCCAGGTATGTATAACTGAATTGTCAATATTGGTTTTGCTGTGTTATAAACATTAGATTAGTAGCATTTCATGTCAGATAAGGGTTGGATGCTAGTTGACATTGCCTTCTGTTATGGAATTCTTGAAAAATATCACGATTTTGAGTGACTATAGATGGGTTTGGATTGGTGACTCAATTTGTTGACCACTTTAACACACCACTTGTGACTGCGCTTAATTATAGTACCATTTACAAATCTCAACAACACATACTAAGTCTTTTCAGTCTGTTGCATCTTCACCATTCGTTGTCTGGTAATGGCTTCTAACAGTGGATATTCTTTAGCTCATGCTCACTTTGTTACCATCCAGCAAATATGCCACAACTTCTCTACGCAGACTGACTTACAACTGACTAACTTCTAAAGTTGTCTTAGTTATAACATCTCGACATGGACCACATAGAAACACCCTGTACAACAGTTCCTCTGTTGTGCATGAATTTGTTGCCATGAGAACCTGTTTATTTAATTTTTGCTACATAATAAGAGGTCTGCATGCTACAATATTTAATGCCTGCTATGAGGAAGAGTCAGTAAATAGGTCACATGTGGAAGTAAAACAGATGTAATAGACATAATAAATTTTCTGTCTGTATCATTAGATAGCAGCACAGTCCAGCTTCATGACTGTCTAGGTAGCGGATGCACAAGCACATATTCAAAGGCTGGTTTTTGTAGTCAAAATGGTGACCGTACTTGAGGAGTGTACTGCCAGAAGGAAGCATTTTGTTGTGTGGTTTCTGTTGGCAGAAGAACTCAATACAAAGGATATTGTCACATGTAGGGTGGCACACATGACAAAAATGACAGGTTCTAACTCAGATGATTGGATTTATTAGCACCTTGGTTATAACCTCTCTTAATTACAGTAAATACTACAGCACTGTCGCTCATCAACCCATTATACTGTTCACTGTTACACACTAGGTTTTTCAGTCTTCACTAGTTGTATCCTGGCAATGGAGATTATTCCACTTCTGTTGTCCACTGGTTAACACTCCACAGGTGAACCCTCAACTGACTCCTGTAGTGTCAGTTATCTTCAAGATAACTCCTTGGCATGGACCTCGCAGAAAACACAGCCTCTATTGTAGAGGCGTATTTACTTCGCAATTGCATAGTAACGGTTGTGGCATGGACCACATAGAAAACGCCAACATTCAGTTGTTCCATGCATGAATGTTGTGGACGTTATGTAGCAACAGCTGATGTTTACAGAGTCACTGCTTAGCAATGGGTCTCTATGCCACAATATTCATAAATAAAGGTTTCCTGTTTTCGGTGGGAAGTGATTGTTGTGTAAAGCAGTTCACATCTGGATCAAGAAATTCTCTCATGGACATTCAAAAGTCACAGATGATGAAACAGAGATGTGGAAGTGGCTGTGACAACAGTCAAAAGACTTTTATGCTGCATGTTTTGATGTATTGGTAAAAGTTATGGGACAAGTGTATCAATGATGGTAGAGGATATGTCAAGAAATAAATTTTTTTTCCAGGTTTGAATTACACATGTTTATATTTTATATCCATTTGTGACCTATTTACTGACTCTACATCATAATTTCCTTGATCCTCTTTTTGTTTAATCATTCCACCCACATGGACAAGAGTGGTGAATCAAATTGTCATTATTGTGGGTACATTGCTGTCATTTACTGAAACTCTCAGCAAAATTTGTAGTTTCGTAGCAACCATATTATGAAGCTGAGGATTTCGATACAGACAAAGGTTTTGATTAATGTCTTCCAATTATGATCACTGTGTTTGGACAGCTCTTCATTTGGTTTATTAAATCTGAAGTTCATGTTGTTGTAGGTAAACATTTTTATCTTAATATTTACAAGAAAAATGATAGGGATGGTGTTGCTGTTAAATTGCATGGATCTGCAGTTGTGTACTGTCATGTTGCATAAGTGAAGCTGCTTGTTTTGAAAAGTGCAATCTAATTTTTGTGGATGTGGCTTAAGACTCAAAGTGAAAGACTGACTGTCACATTGTAGTGAGTATAAATCCCTGTCTGCATTTTGGAGGTTCCAAATTCAAGTCTGATTCTCCTAACTGTAGCATTCTGTTGTTTTCCTCAGCTCCTGTTGTAACTGGGGTAGTACTAAATAGGACATGATGAGTTTCGCATCATCCCCACATTATTAATTGTAAATCTTGTTCCTTTATAATAGAGCACAATAAATAGACCAAGAAACAAGAAGTAACACAATTGTAATGTATTAATATTTTCAGTCAGTACACTCCTCTTGTATAAGTGATATTTTCCAAACCTGTGGTGAACAAACTGCTCAAAATGAAGTATTTGAAACTAATCTTCATTCATGTGACAGTAGGAATGCAATTCAGTTTAATTCTGAATGTCAGGAGAAAATTATGTTTATTACGTAGGTCATACTAAAAGTCATGAGCAACTTTTTTTTTTTGCATGCAACCTGGGAACAGCAGATGAAAGAGAGTACGGTGATAGGTGGAACCAGCCGTTGTGTTAACCTTGAGTGTCTTGTGACGTCAATAGCTTGCATCACATGACCAGTATCCTAACAAAATGGCTGACAATGATATGTCGTTTCACCAGAGACTTCACCGTGCTTATGGAAATGTGTGCATGGATGTGAGCAGTGTTCGAAGATGGGTGAAACATTTTAAAGATGGGGTCACCAGCATCGAAGATGAGCCTCAGAGTAGTCATCCTCAAACAGCCTCAACTGAACGCATCAAGGAAAGAGTGGATGAGATCATTCAAGATGACAGGCATGTGACTGTGGACACAATAGCCCGAAAACTTGGAATAGGGCACAGTGCAGTACAGGAGATGATTGAAAGCTTGGGCTATAGGAAAGTTTGTGCTCATTGGATCCTGCGGTTATTGACCGAAGACCACGAAGATCAGCGAAAAGCCATCACCTCAGAACTACTGCAGAGATATCAGCACGAAGGCGATGATTTTTTGCTCTGTATTGTGACAGGTGACGAAAGCTGGTTTCACCATTTTGAGCCTGAAATGAAACGACAGAGTATGGAATGGCACCAGTTGCATTCTCCATCAAAAAAGAAGGCAAAGACAGTGCCATCAGCTGTGAAGGTGATGGGCACAGTCTTCTGGGATGCAGAGGGGTTTATTCTGGCCGAATTCCTGGAACCTGGGCAAACCATCAATGCTGCTCGTTATGTCCAGACGCTGCACAGGCTCTGTCGTGCATTGTACGATAAACGTCTGGGACGAAATATCATCATCCTGCATGACAATGCTCACCCCCACGCNGGAATTTTACAGAAGGGGAATTTTCAAACTCCAAGAACGCTGGGAGAAATGTGTACAAAGAAGTGGCAATTATGTGGAAAAATAAAGAGAGGTATGTAGATTGAGGTGGTGTGTTTTGTTTGTCAATAATAAAACATGTTACTTTACAAAAAATTGTTGCTCATGACTCAGTACGACCCTCGTATATGTAATTTCCAAGTTAGGAAAGATTTGATCATGATTAATTTATTCTTGAGGTAACTGGTATATTAAAGTAATCAGCTTTTTGCATTGTTGTAATCCATATTCTCATCAATATACATCAATTGTAAAGCTACATAATTTCCTTTTGTTGAAAACTAGTTAGGTGAATTAAGATGTGTTTATATGAAGTCTATATAGGTGAAATTTTTCCAGTACATTTCCTATTCAGAGCAGTTAGAAACAAGGAGATGCTTTATCCATGTTTATTTTCAGCTCTGCTTTAGCATTAGCTTGAAGAAATCTATGATTCAGTCAGGAGTGAATTATTGCACAGTGTTTTCAACAACTTTGATATATCCATTAAACTAACTGGGCTGATTAAGATGTGTTTAAATGAAAATTATAGTGACTTCTGTGTAGATGAAGATTTATTTGAAACCTGGGATAGCTCAGTAAGTATAGTGATGGGTTACAGGCCACATGGTTGGGGTTTGATACTTGGCAGGAACAAGATTTTTCTCTTCTCCATAGCAACCGCACTGGCTGTTGGGCCCACCTAACCTACTTTCCGTTTGGTACTGGGGTCGGTTTCCCTGAGAGCAAAGTGGCTGGGGCATGAAGCTGACCACTCGCCTCCATCTAGTGCCAGGGTCAAACTCTACACATATATCTCAACTCCCCCATACATCGTCATGGCATATTACTTAATCAGTTTAACAGAGGGACAACTTTACCTCTTTACCTGAACATTTGTTTAACGTCTTCCCTATTCAGACTAATATAAAATGAGATGCTTTATTGCCATTGCTTTCCAAGTTTGATTTAGAATATGCCATTAGGAATATCTAAGAGAGCTGGTAGTGAATAAAATTGAATGGGGCACATCAGCTGCAGGGCAAGAACATAAATACCAGAAAGTAAAACACTAACAGCTCTGTTAAGGAGGGTGGTCCAAAAACAATAAATTATATTCATGTGTTCTCAGCAGAATGCAGGATGAAACCATAACAAAGATAGCTAAGAGATTGTTGAAATTGTGTCAGAAATTTGGGAATGCCACTTCCAGATAAAAATTACACTCTTTGCTGTAGAGGAGATAAATCCTATCTGCAGAGCCCAGTGCAACAAGTGACTGATAGTTATCTTTAAATGACATTCTGCTACGACTGTACATAGTTATCTTTAAATGACATTCTGGTATGACTGTACTTGGGAATTGTAATAGATTGCATTTTCATCAACATACTGAGATGTTAAGATTGAAGGACCAGCTGCACAGATCATCCCGTTGATTGTGATAATGAACAGGGTAACAGATCATTGTAGCAGTACATTTTCTTCTTGTTGATGAAAAAGGAAAACATTGTCAAGATGAACATAGAACTGATAGTCCTAGACAAAGCTCAATAGGAGCATTGGCAACTGACTTGATTGGGGAAGGGTCCTTAGAAAGCCATAGTGCCATGTTGTGTCTGTGAGAACTGCCCACATTCAAGCAAACATTACAGTGACAGCTCAGATATCATTGCTAAGTGACAGCGAGTAAACAGTCGTTTCTTGGTAAGGTCTACAATAATTATTGTATTGTATTGTAATTATTGTATTATAATATGAGGTTGTGGGAAGCACCCACAGTGGACCAAGTGGGCTGTTTACTTAGCCGCTGCTAAGCATTGATACTTGAGTTGTCACTGTAATGCTGCTTGAATGTTGGCAGTTCCCATATATTATTACAATTTTTGGTAGTTGTTATTGCTGTTGAATCACAGTAGAATGAGAGTCTTCACTTGTGTGATCTTGTGCTGTTTTTGTAAATGTGTATTATTATTGTGTGTATTCATTTTCTCATGTAGTAAAACTTCTTGTGAATGATGTGTCCTGGATGAGTGATTGTCCCACACAAAGAAGAAGAAAAGAGGTATACATTCATTTATGCAGGAATTGTGTTGATGGAACCTATAATAAATAGTTGCAGTTTTGTTTATGTGTTCACTAGTGCGCTGGAAATGCCCGTCTTCATCTCTTCACTTCTGTAGTGTATGTGTGCTTGTATATATATATATATATATTTATCATGTTTTGCACAGGTACGAGGCACCTGTCCTGATGATGTGAGAGCAGTGCAAGTACGTGAGGTGCCATCTTCCCTTAATTCTGATGATGTTTTCATTCTTGAAACTCCAAATGCAAGCTATCTGTGGATTGGAAAGGTATATCCATAACACTGCACATATTTTGTACTTCCTGCAACACTTTGGTTCATGTAGCTCAGTTGAAAACAGTAAAACTGATTGTCCCTTGCCATGCTTAACATTTAGTTTTTAGTACCATATTTACCAAAATAAAAGATACTGCATGTAAGACAACCCCTCCCGACAGTCTTCAATTTTCAGGAAAACACCAGTATTCTTATTAGTTGGATTTGAATGTCACTCATTGTTTGTGGACTTAATATTCTGGAATTAAATAATTATCAGGGAGGTGATTTTGATTGAGCTCCATTCCAACAGTTTGAACAAGGAAGATGGCTACTTATAATTTTCATTTCATGCATCCTGTTGTGTTACAATATACAACTCTTTTATTGACCGTCACAACACAACAAACAGAAAAAATTGGGGTTAGCGCCCAGCTATGGCTTATGTTTCAGCCACTAATGGCCATCATCAGGCAAACACATATTAACAAACATATACCATTGAACTGCTGTACAGTAGATTGGATACAATGTTAAAATACTTTGCATAAAAATACAATAAGTCAGATTATGTAAAAAAACTAAAAGTTGTTGTATAAAACAAGTTGTTTACTTTCCATACAGTACGGACAATTCTTCGTAAGATGAGGCACCGACTACACAATTAATTAATTTGCAACATCATGGGCCTCCTATACATTCTTATATAAATGAAATATTGAACTTCCAATTGGTCCATAGAAACGTATGAAAAGTAAAAAATCAACGACTGATTCAATGTTGTATAATATCAATTAAGTTTTATCTTGTTTTATACAATAACTTTTAGTTTTTTTATATAATCTGACTTATTGTATTTTTATATAAAGTATTATAATTTTGTATCCAATCTATTTTACAGCAGTTCAGTGGTATATGTTTGTTAATATGTGTTTGCCTGATGATGGCCGTTAGTGGCTGAAACATGTAGCGAAGCCATAGCTGGGTGCTAACCCTGATTTTGTCTGTTTGTTGTGTTGTGACGGTCAGTAAAGAGTTGTAAGATGGCTACTGTCTGAGCAAGCCATGGAAACCTCTCATCTGCTCCCTGAAAGATCATAGAAAGCCTCCATCACATGACAACATATCTGAGTTCTCTGTGGGACCACACAGGTCTGTGTGCACTATCCTTATCAGGGCACAAGATATGGCCTCCTTGGGCACTCAGCATCCCCCCACCCAGATGTCCTAGCTTCCTTCCACTACCCCTGCTCCCTCATCCCTCACCGCAAACCTGTGACTCACGCAGTCAACTCACATGATAAAACAGAAAGAGATGACACAATGAAGAAGATATACTACCCAGACTAAGAATAAATTCACAGTGTTACTAATAACAAAAATATTCACCCCAATTCTTTGAACTTTGTGTGCAATTATAAGATGACCCCCAATTTTTTAGATGATAAATTAGGAAAACATTTTGTCTTATACTTCGTAAATACTGTGTATAAAGCACATTGATTATAACAGCGAATGTAAATGGCGCTACAGTTGTGTTACTTTGTTTCATACATACACGTGGAATTCAGCACTATGGAATTGTTCATGGATATATTTTCATATTTAAAAAATCTTGCTTCTGTTTCTTATTGTCACAAGTATGTGACTGTAAACAGGGTTTGGATTGGTGACTCAATTTATTGACCACTTATATACACACAACTCATAACTACAAGTAATTATATCACCATCGCTAATCTTCACCCTTTACAATTCACTGTTACACACATACTAGTGTTCTCAGTCTGTTACATGCTCAACCAGTCGTTTCCTGGTGATGGCTTCTAACAGTGGAGATTCTTCAGATTCCATGCTCAAGCCATTGCCCACTGGCTAATACTCCACAACTGACTTTGCTTCAAACTGTCCTGGTTATAACATCTTGGCATGGACCCCTCGGAAAATACCATTCCTCACTATTGTACAGTTGTTGCTTGTTAAGAATCTGCTACCTAGCAGCAAGCATTGTTTTGTTGTGCGTTTTGCTTTTGTTAACATGCTACATTATATTAAATTTGTTTTGAAATTGAAAAGTATATGAATGTTTTATAGTACTTCTTTTGGCTTGTTTTGGGCTTCATCCATCGTCTGGTATGTAAAAGACAAAAGACCACAAAACGAGCCAAAAGAAGTACAGTATACACCATCGTCAGAATCCTCTCAAGTCTGTCTATATTTTATAGTGTTTATCATTGATTTATTACTGTTAATATAAATTACTTTTTGAAGATTGTAGGAGTATTAATTGCTGAATTACTGTAAAAGATACAATAAAATGGTTTGTTCTGAATAGAATGCTACAGTCTTTAAAGAGAGAACAAATTTAATTCATATTATTTTTTATTCAAATAATTATTTCTCTTTAATAGGTATATTTCACAATAGTGTTGTCTGTCCATCTGTGCATATATATACTTTGGCTCAAGTAACACACCATAAGATGGATGAGGGTGCTGTTTAGCTACATAAGTACAAAGAAGGAGACTCCTTTACAAGAAAAATGTATATTCTCTGGATTTTACATACAGACTCAAGATGGAGGTGCACATATCACCAGTAGCAGGGTGAATTCAGATGTTTAAGTACTTCTGTGATGGACATTTTGGACTTTGTTGCGAAGCTGTACATGAAGTTTCCATAGTCTGTCTGAGGGCGCACTAAGGTCAGAACATTATCATCTGGTCTTTGCTGCGAAACCTGCCAGATAAAATTTTTAAAACATTAATTTAATGTTCATCTTAAGGAGGTTATTGTGAGAGTTTACCGTCAGGGACAAGACCAAGGAACTTGGTAGGTGGTCCTATTATTCAGATACAGACTGGGATGTGTGTAAACCCCACGGTGGTGTGCAGAGAGTACACACTGGTTCTTTGTTGCAGAGATGAAAAGCCTAGTATAACAGGAAATTTTAAGGTAACTTGAAGCTTGTGTTTGATTAAAGCAATGCCCTGGGAATCACAGTAGCTGGCAATGTCATCAGTATATTGAGACAGCTGGACAAACCACATTAACCGCCCTACTGATAGGGATATAGCAAGCATAGTCTTGCTGGAAACTGGTCTGCATAGCACTCCATTTTCTTGAAGATAATATGCAGGTAAAAAGGATTGCTGAGATGGACATAGAAGTTCCAGTGGTTCTCAGGATACCATATTACACTGTTGAAGAGTTGAAGAGGACAGTGACAAGGTTTTATTGAATGCATCATCAGTCTGCTGAAAATTTAGTAATGTGGAATGCTACTTTATGTGAAAGTTTCTGTATTTTTTTTTTTTAGATATTAGCAAATATTGGCTAGGTTAAGAAAATGTTAATAAAAACCCATATCAGTAAAAGAAGCACACATTCTATGTTATATCCACATTTGTCATGTACTCTTTCATTTTTAAAGATAATGATTGTTGGGTGATATGCTGGACTTTGTAATTATTCAAACATTAAAATGCTTATTCTCCAACCTTCTGTTTTTCTTAATGTCTAATTGGCTTGTCATTTACTGCAGGGTGCAAATGATGAGGAGAAAGAAATGGCACAGACTGCAGTACATCTTTTGGACCCAGTCCATGCGCCTATAACAGTTAATGAAGGAGATGAACCTTCAGAGTTCTGGAGTTCACTGGGAGGAGAAGGTGAATATAAGAAAGGATATGATGGCCGGGGCAGACCACTGCTGGTTCCACGCTTATTCCATTGCCATGTGTCTCCAGCTGGAAAACTCCAAGTTGAAGAAATCACACATTTCAAGCAAGAGGTGAAGTAAAAGTTTTTTCACTATATTTTATTGGTTTTGGAAACCAAGAAATGAAACATTTATTTTTTGTTATTGTAATTTGTTTGTCCTTCTTTCAGATTATATTACATTTAAATTATTGTGTTTAGATATTCACTTTCTTATACATATTTACTTACCCTTTGCACCTTTCATTATTATTGCAATTACCAATGTAGTGGAACCTCAGTGATCAAGATTTTATGAGATTGAATTATGCAAAGATGGAATTAAATAATTTGTAATTATCCAGTTTTCACCATGCATGCATTTTAATGGAGTGGCATTTAATACTAATTAACCTTTATCAGACGGACGTCATCATATGATGTCGTTAAAAGTAAGGGCAGCTGGCCGAACGTCATCATATGATGTCGCGGATTCCACACGTGTAAGGTTTTTTTTAATATTATATTAAAAATATAAATTGTTGTTCTATTTACATGATTTTTGGTCACCACCTTTATAAGGAGACAGCCTTCCTTCCTGCATGATCTAATGTAATCTAGCGACGTCATATGACGTTAAAAGTAAGGACAAATTGAAGAACGACATCATATGATGTCGCGCATTCCACGCGTGTAAAGATTTTTTTAAAATTAAATTTAAAATATAAATTATTGTTCTATTTACATAATTTTTGGTCACAACCTTTATAAGGTGACAGCCTTCCCTCCTGCGTGATCTAATGTAATCTACCGACGTCATATGGCCGAACGACCTCATATGATTTCGCGCATTGCACGCAT